AGACCTGTCTTTTGTCCCCTCACCTCATTCCATCCAGGCCATGGGTTCCCAGTCTCTTCAAGCACTTAATTTGATCTTGGTCTCCCATCAGCTTCCATTCAAAGAAGGGTCCTAACATGAGCAAAATAAAAGTATGAATTCCTACCTTAATTCTCAGGAACTATTGAACTGTTTTAGCTGAGATTTTTCACAAAAATCAGCCCAAACACCCAGCATTGAAAATTTCAACTCAAACAGTTAAAGCTTGGCAACATTATAAGCAGCTAGAACAAGGTCTTATGGGAAGTAGTGGGCAACCTTAATAATGTACAGTGCTATGAAACTTATTTATAGGATATTTAAAGAGAGATATTAAGCATCATTTTGCATTCATCTCTTTTAAAAAAAGGACCCACCTTTGACAGGCATATTTTTCAGATAGCTTTCACTGCAGTCCTGTCGAGACATTGCTGAGTTCAGAAAGTGCTACTCAGGGAAAAGATTCACTGCAAATAAAAAAGAACCACAAGAGAAAAAAACATCAAAATAAGACGGGGGAAGTCATTGAAAGGAAAGAGATGATCACTTTCCAATGCTGGGTCAGATTAACCAAAAAGTGATAAAGTCATTAACCACTGGCCACACAAAAACCAGAGGAGGTTCTCCTTAGCTACTGCAGTTACCACAGAACTTTCAGACTCCTACCATCTTACTTCAGATTTGAAGTACTTAATGTTTTAAAACAATAGTTTAATTATTTAGAGTTTTTGAAAAACATTTTCCATTTTTCCTGTTTCAAACCAAATCAAACCAAACTTTGCCTGACTGACTTCACTAGAGCAACTCCATTTACCTTATTCCTGACTTGCTATGATGTACATTCGTGAGATCAGAATCATATCAAACTGTTTTTATAACACTAGTATTTCACACATATGGATAGATCTCAGGTCTTCTTACAAAAGATAAACAAGCATTATTATCCCTCTTTACAGGGAAAACTAAGCCACAGAACAGTTCAGTGAAAGCAAGTTAATGGCAAATCCAGTACCAGAACCCAGTCTAGTAGTCAGACTGGCACTTCTTTTATTTACAAGATACTTGAGAATTATTCTGAGTGTTATTTTTAGTCAAATCATTATTACTTTTCAGCAAATAAATGTTGCTGAGTGAAGTAATTACATAATTATTTTTTGCCTACCTCCTTCATGTATGTATAACCAATATTTATGCAGTGCTGGGGGGAGGTTCTTATGGGTCATAACATTGTAACATAGCATGTTTCCATGGGACTAGATATTTTTGGCTAATTAGTTTAGTTTATACAGCTTGGTTTTGTATTTCATAGCTCAGTAGGGCACCCTAATTGAATAAGGTTATACAAACATGAACCCACATGTTCAGGTGGTTTGCATGGCACATATCCTGGAGGGAGAAATTTTTCAGTTTATACTGCTGCATATCAGCAGCACCATCTTTACATAAATACACAACATAACAATTCCCTATAACATGGAGAAGATCTCTAAGTATCTTCAACTTTTCTATAGTACCATAACAGGGGTCTGTGAGCAGTTTGTTCAAAAGCAGGAATCTTCAGTTTTTGCATCACAGTTGATGCACAAGTCATTCTGCTCTCATTTTCTCTGTTTTCCGTTTTCCATCTCTCCATTATGCCATTTGTTCTGTATTTAGTGATACTCCACCTTACTTTTGCACATTTCACTTTGGTGAATCACTCTGTTGGCAGAATACACGCGTGTGAGAACATATAGAGAAATCTAATTTTTTGTCTCCCCTCTCCCCCAGACGTTTGCATATATGTATTTGCATTTTAGGATCCAAACTAGTTTCTCACGCGTGGTTTGGTTTTGGGTGAGGATCTCTGTCACTGGTCAGACTAATGCTGTTGTGATTTATGAGAGATGTGATACAGGAGTGCTTTGTCTCTTCACTTGGGTTTGGTATTTTAATTTTGAGCACTTTGCTGTTTTGATTGAAATGACACCAAAAGTTGGGTGTTCTTGTCTGTAAATTGGTTGAATCGGTGGCATGATCATAATTCTGCTCTGTAGCTGTTCATGTTGGAGTTCCCATGACCCCAGATTTTGTTAGCAGCACTGTAGTTATAGGGTTTCCTTTAATTAATTTTATGACCCAATTGACATAATTATCTGTTAAACCTGGGCCCCAAACTTCACTCCCATCTAGTACAATGCATTAGCATTTTTCTGCTGAATTGTTAGCAGTGAAATGAACTTATTTATGCTTTCAGTACTGTGGTACAGCAGACAGACATAGCTTTTTCTACTAATGCTTTTGTACTTCATCTAAAACTCCCTGATGCATTTCTTAAGGTGCTGGGATATCTATAAATTAGGATGTGTTAACTGTGTGTTCATCTTGATTGTTTTGGTCCATGTTATGTTGCTACTTAACTATACCCAAGGCTAGATACAATCAAAGATTTCCTTCTGTGTATGAAGAACATGCTAGGCCAGGGCTACTCAATACACGGCCTGTGGGCCATATGCAGCCCACAGCTCGTTTGTTTGCGGCCCACAATGTGGTTTGGGTTTACATGGGGCTCAACACATGACCCGCGGATGGGAGCCAAAACAAAAAAGGAGATAATATATTGGTCTTCTGTTGATATGCATTTTAGTAGTTAAATTCCTGGACTGCTTGCTCATTAAAAGTGCTGTCAGATGGGTGGAAATCGGGTAAATAGTGCATTTTATTAATATAATATTTTATTAATATAATCAGAGCTGATTTAAATGGGGCCTGTGTGTTGTATTGTCTTGCCTTAATCTTGTATTCATGCCCATCAGTGTGAAAGAAGCTATATGGATATATTTGCATATATTTTTGCATGTTTATGCAACCACACTTAAGACAGAACATAAGAACAGCTGTACTGGGTCAGACCAAAGGTCCATCTAGCCCAGTATCCTGTCTGCTGACAGTGGCCAATGCCAGATGCCCCAGAGGGAGGGAACACAAAAGGGAATCATCACATGATCCTTCCCCTGTCATCCTCCTCTAGGGAAACAGAGGCTAGGGACACCATTTCTACTCATCCTGGCTAATAGCTATTAATGGACCTAACCTCCATGAATCTATCTAGCTCTTTTTTGAATCCTGTTAAAGTTCTAGCCTTCATCACATCCTCCGGCAAGGAGTTTCCTTTTGTTTGTTTTAAACCTGCTGCCTATTAATTTCATTTGGTGACCCCCTAGTTCTTTTATTGTGGAAATAAGTAAAAAACTTTTTCTTATTCACTTTTTCCATACCAGTCATGATTTTATAGGCCTCTATCATATCCCCCTGTAGTCTCCTCTTTTTTAAGCTTAAAAAGTCCAAGTCTTTTTAATCTCTCTTCATATGGGACCTGTTCCAAACCCCTAATAGTTTTTGTTGCCCTTTTCGGAACCTTTTCCAATGCCCATATATCTTTGTGTGGCCCTCGGCATGTGCTGTGAGTATCATTGTGGCCTGCGGGGCTTCCAAAGTTGAATAGCCCTGTGCTAGACCTTAACTCCTGCACTAAAGCGTTTGTCACACCTTTTAGCTTATACTGGGGCTTAAGTAGCTTTTAGCACAGAAAGGCATCATGTGATCCAAGAAAAGGTGTTTGTCTAGTTAGCAGAGATATATAAAAGCATCTAATGCTGTGCAGATATGGAAAAGACAAGGAGAGATCTGAGAAAGAAAACTTAACTGTAAGATAATTATTTCTCTGGAATCTGTATACAATAATACTAAATGAATACACCAATAGAATGTGTGTTAGTAGCAGGGATTTGTTTATGCTTTCACATCTCTTGGTTATCACTTTGAAGTAGTGCAATGAGAAGCCAGAATCTCGGTGCACAGACTCCCCATTTTCTGGTTTTACAAGCCAGAAAGAAATCAGGCATCTGTACTGAACTATCTGCTACCATAACAGAATGGAATTTCATCTCCACATACTTAGTAACAAGTTTGGTACTGTACCAATAGTTAGCATTCTCTTACAGTCACTGCTGATGTACCAACTCATAGCAGTGCTGAATCCGCATCCCTGAAAACAATGTCTCCTCTTAATCAGTGACCGAAAGCACTGCCTCCACAGGCAGATTCTACATAGAGAAGGATTAGGGTAGTCTAAGAGCAACAGTGTCCACTTCTAAGCAAACATTTTTAAATGAACTAAAAATCACTAACCTTTAACTTTTGGAGCACTGGGTTTGACGTAGTGGGGGTACCTTGTGTGACGTAGTGGGGGTACCTTGCTAGGGCTGTGGCGACCTCTGCTGTCTGTAGCAAGACCCAGCAGGGAAGGGGGGAGTCATTATGCAAAGGTGGCTCCAAACTGGTCTGACCAGCCACCCCCCATGGGGAGAAACAAAGGAAGGTGGATGCTGCCCTGGCTGGGGACAGGGCTGGAGGAGAGGTAGTTAGTTCCCATCTGGAAAGCAGGGGAGAAGGAGCTGGGGAGGGGGCTGGGACTCCCCCATCTCAAGGGGGGCACTGAGGCCTCTTAGCCCCAGTTCCTGTAACCAGATGACATCTGTGCTGTGCTATATACTGGAGATGCAATAAACTACCTCCATTCTACTGGCTGGGGGAGTGTGTTCGTGCCATTTGGGGGTGCAGGAGATGGGGGACCCCAGCGTGCTGTCACACTGGGTTCAAATGAGTTCAATGCTCTTGAGTCTCCACAAAACCATCACATAATTTGGCATGACTGGCAGACTCTGCTAAGAAGAAGGGATAAAGGAGGTAGAAAGTGAACATAAATAAACCTGAATGTCAGGATCACAAATACAAATTCAGACTTGAATATCAGAACTTTTGCACAGCCCTAACATAACAAGACCCAAATATTAGAATAGACTTGAGGACTCACCTTAGACTGAGGCCTTATCTTCACTACCACAACAATACATAATGTAGTGCATCAGGTGAAGATAGGCTGTGTTGACAGGAGACTGCTCTCCTGTCGACATAATTACTCCACCTTAGTGAGAAGCAGAACTTAAGCTATGGCAGCAGGAAAGCATCACATAGCACCGCTTTAAGTCATAACTTACATTGCTCAGGGGAGTGAGCTTTTTTACATCCCTGGGTGACATAAGTTACATCACGGTAAGCAGTAGCATAGACAAGCCCTCAGTAGGTGGGCATCATACCGAAAGAGCAGCACTGAAATAGCAACGAAACTACCATGATCAGTTCCAAACACTGCTTCTACATAAGCAGAGTGTGTGCTGTTCCCACAAGATGTGTCCCTGTTAAGATGCAATCAGGTGTAGCATGCAGCTGTGAGTTTCAAACGTGCCCGAGAACTTTCTGATGCCAGCAGCATTTTTTAAAGCCCTGCTTCAGCTGGTGCAGTGAATTTGGGAGTGTAACTGAGACCCAAGGGTTATCTGTCCTTGAGGGTATGTCTACACTGCATGCTTATTTTGAAGTAAGCAATTCCGGAATAGTTATTCAAAAATAGCACATCTACACTGCAGGGAAGCCTCAAAATTAGTCTGAGGCAGCGTTCCCTAATGTAGATGTGCTACTTCGATTTAGAGCCCTAGGAGGCACTGGGAAGGAATAATTTAGAATGGCCCTGGCGAGGGGCAATTTCAAAATAGCGGCATTGGAGCATCTACACACACCTTATTTTGAAATAGCTATTTTGGAATAGGCATTATTCCTCATAGAATGAGGTTTACAGATTTTGGAATAAGCTGTTATTTCGAAATAACAGAATAGCTGTGTAGATGGTCACATTGTTATTTCAAAATAATACTAGTTAATTATCTCAAAATAACAGTGCAGTGTAGACACACCCTTATTGAGTGGTAACAAGGGCTCCCCCCTTTTGTATGAGGGAGCTACAGAGAAGTCCCTGCCAACTGAGTACCTGGTTCATGCCCACTATCAGTCCTCTTCCTTCACAAACATGAAATTCACAGTGCAAAAATATAATTTTAAAATCCTCTAAAATGGAAGACTGGGGATAGATGGGAAAAACAAAAAGTTAGAAGAAAGAGATAAGAAATGGGAGACAGAAAGTAAAGAAAGGCAACCCATTTGTCATTTATGTTCTCACTTGCTTTTTGGTGGCCATTTTTTAGGTCTTGACCCTGACATCTTTATGTGAATACTTCCACTGAAGTCCAATAGGCTATTTTTGCGGGATCAGTCTCTTAGCTTTTATGGAATACTCCTCTTCCGTAGGGATACATTATATCATCTCTGGCATAATTTCTATTGCTATTTTTTTGTCCAATTCCAAACTTGGCAACAGTGTAGGAATTCTTTGAGCTACAATCCTACACGAGAGTGCCTATGCAACAATACACGGTCATTTCAAAATGAGAAAAGAACTGAAAGAAGATGCACCCCTTTTCACATCATAGCTACCAAATGAAGATTCTACTTCAGTGGTGGCCAACCCATTAGAGACAAAGAGCCAAAATAGCAGTGGATAGAGTGCAAAGAGCCACGTACCAGGAGGGAGGGATTTGTTGAGAGAAAAAAAAAAAAAAGATGTGCTGGGGGAGAATAGGTGCCGGTGCACTGTCCTGGGGCGTACTATCACAAAAAAAAAAGCACTGGGAAGGGGTGAGAGGTGCAAGCTTTGGGAGGGAATTTGCATGCAGGAGGAAGTAGAGAAAAGGATGCTGGCTCAGGGAGGAGGCTCCAGGCTGGAGAGTGTTGGGGTCGGGAGGAGGGTTAGGGTACTAAGCAAGCCAGGCTGGGGTATATGAGGGGCTCAGGGCAGGGAGGCTGGGAGTATGATGGGCACAGATTTGCAGTGTGTGGATGGTGCAGGAGTGTTGTGGCAGAAGACTGGGGATGTGAGAGGATCAGGACGGGGGTTCCAGTGTATGATTGGCTCAGGTTTGGAGTCTGGGGGGTGGGTGCAGGAGTGTTATGATGCTGCGGCCAGATGGGGGCTTGGCCCCAATTGGCCAGGCTTCATTTTTAAATAAAATATTATGTCAAACACAAAATGTTTCAGTGTTGTCTTTATTTATGAGAGGCTCAGGGAACATGTTTTGAGTAAGGGGTCACTGACCCACAGAAAAGTCAGTCAGGGCCACACAAGTGAGATGCAAAAAAACAACCCCTTCAGAACCCCCCAAGCCTCACTAATGTGGCCCCAACTGTGCTGATGAGGGTAGGGAACAGGGTGCTGGGGCACGGGACAGGGTGCCAGTGGGTGCCGGGGCAAGGTACTTGTGGGGGTTTGAGGGGGTGGAGGGGACAGGGACCGGTACCTGGGGATCCTGCAGTTGTGCACCAAGGCCTAGGAAGTGCACGGGCTGCTCCCCCGTCCCCCAAACAGCAGTGTGGTACCTGAAACGCTGGTCCATCGCATGCCTGATGCCTTCCTGCATGGGGGGGGGAGGGAGGGAGGGAGGAGTCCCGGACCACGCCAGCAATAAATGCTCGGGCAGCATGTGCCTTGCCCCTCCACTCCCCATGGCAACATGTGCTGAC